AATGAATTAAATGGCAAGACATAACATTGAGATTGAGCTATTATTGAATAGTGATTTATAATAATTTGTATTGATGAAAATGTCAAAAGTAATGGGTGACCAGAAGTTCACCAGAATAACAAATATGTTATTGTCAACTATTAGGTGACCAGAATCTCACCAAATACTCTATTTAAATCATTAAAGATCTCGAAGATCACTACCTAGTAGAATTCCAAGCAAGTGATTTATGCTTGTATAATAATTTTTTTGATTGGGGCTATTATATTTCAGCACATAAGAAACTGGAAAAGAAAGAAAAACGTACAACTGCACAACACATGTCTCCCCATTAACATTGATCTCCAGAAGAGAACATATTATGGCAAGTGTAACAATAAATACACATGCAATGTAAAGTTAATGAAGAAATGATTCTTCATTGAAATTATTCTGTAGAAGAGATAAAACTTGTTTAATACAAATCTTCTGATATAATTATTTTGATTGTAATCATCCCGATGAAAATAATTTTAATGCAAATTTGTATACTAAGTTGGTATAGAATTAGACACCCCTATAAAAGATACATTTTACCAACTTAGGGGGAAAAGAATTAGCAAAAGTTGGAAAAATCGGAAAATGTGATTGATGATCCCTATGAAGGTAGTTTGAAAAGTTATATGCCAACTTTTACCTATATATTATCAAGATATGTTGCACATTTATGATTTGATTTGTATTTAGTTAAGACTCATGTTGCATAGCGTTGAAGATACTTTTTGGTCATATTATGTGTATACATTGAGATAAAATCTTGTCAATTATACTTGAATCACTACACCTGAAGTATAGGTTGTATGATCGGTTCCAAAATAAAGATATCTCTAATGGATATGATATATGGCAAAATAGTGCAGTTAATACTAATAGCGTAATAGTATATAAATACCATAGTGCGTGTATGAAATACCCTAAAAGTGGTATAGATATCTGAATTATTACAATAGATGACCTATGATGTAAGGAAGTTATGATGGTACCAACAAAAAATGTATTCAGATATCATAGTAAAATAGCATGCGAAATGTACGTTAAAGGAATATTATGATACCGGTACACAAGGGAACCGATGAATAATATGCATATGCATAATAAAGTGGAATAGTGAATAAGGGATCTGAAATATATGTCCATTTTGACGTAGACATAATGATAATAATCATAAGTTTATCATAGACCAGAAGTCTAATGAAATATAGATTTTTAAATCCACACTGTACAGTGTCTTGTATTATTTTGAGTCCTATGTATGTTTATATGCATGCATAAGTCATAGGTTAACGGATTGTTCATTGCATATGTCAATAGTTGTTAGATTCATTACTTATTGTATATTTTGCTTAATATGTTATCATGTTTTATATATTTCATATTACATGCATTAGTTTCTATTCAATAATTGTGGTGTATGTGAATGTTCATTCAAAGTATAGTAAGGCATATATATTTACAACTTTGATGGAAAATTAGAAAGACATATTCATATTCATATTCCAACGGGCTTATAATTATGATGAAATTATATATGACGTTGATCTAATATTATTTATGAATCATGTAAGAAAAGTTCCCGAAGAGCTTATATCCAACGTAGCCCTACAATTTTATATGTTGAATATTGCAATTATTATCAAACTCTTGAAAAGTCTATGTGACTACATCATTGACATCTCAACCTGAAGTTTAAGCATATGAAAGTTAATGAGTTTTGCTTTTGTTTGCAAGAGAGCTATCGTGTCAATTATGAAACATCTAAAGAGTATCAATGGGATACTTATGTGTGAGAATGTTTTCTTATGGTCCAGAAGAACCATGATTAGCGTATCTAATTACATGTGTTATATTATAATTCAGATGAGATTGAAGGACGACATTAATAATATCAAGTTTTGTCATCAAATTATTATTAATGAATGTTTGATCAAATAATGATCATCGATTTCTATTATTCACGACCTCCAGAAGAAGGCCTAACGCATAAGTTTAACTTTTAAAGTAACTTTATTCAAACAGAGGTTTGTAATGATGTAGAGATAAATACATGTATGGTGAAATAAAGACACTTAACATGATTACTTGAAAACTTGAAGATGCAATTTTAGTTTAGGAGGATCGAAGACCAACGAATGATATTTTACTACATATTAGAAGATACGGCAATTTCATGAAATGCCACTGAGCACTTAAATAATTCATGAAATGCCATCGTGTTTTCCAGAATTCACCAAATGCCACTGACAAACAGTAAAATGTCATGTCATGCCATTAATGAGGTATTTCCGTTAGTTGACCGTTAGTGCCCGTTAGTTGACCGTTAGTTGACCCCACCACTTGCCACGTGCCACTTTTTGATTGCTCCGTTTTTAAAAATAAAAATATTTAAAAAAAACCCAAAAAAAATTAAAAAAAAAACAGAAATAAACCACCACCCCAGCCACCATTGCCTCCACCAACCCCGCCACCATTGCCTCCACCAACCCCGCCAACTAATCTGAAACCACCACCCCCATCACTCCACCAGAATTGAAACCACCACCCGTCCACCCCACCCCCACCTCCGAAACCCCACTCCCACCTGGAACCCTAACCCCCACCTGAATCGAAACCACCCTAACCACCAAAGTGAGGTTGTTGTTGTTGCGAATTCGCTAGGCAAAGGTGGCGACCGCCGAAACAACCCCCTACCCCTTCTCCTCCTCTTTCCCGTCGCGACCCGCCGAGGACTTCATATCCCAGATTTCGAAACCCACAAATTCGCCGGCGAAGCCCCACCCTTCCCCTTCCCTTTTCCAATTTCGACCACCCCAATCCACCTGCAGTGATGAAGGGGCGAGAGAAGAGGAAAGAGGCGAGGGGTGGTGGAGGAAGGGGGGTGGGGTTTCGCGGGTTAGTTGGTCGCGACGGGATAGGGGAGGGATCGTCGGCGGCCGGCGCGCCTCCTAGTGCTAGCCCCGGCGGCAGGGGGTGGTGGTGGTTAGGGTTTTGGGGTGGGCAGGGGGCTCAACGGCAGGGAGGAGGTGGTGGCTGCCACCTCTGAGTTCAATTCCTTTTTTTTTTTAATTTTTTTTATTTCTGTTTTTTTTTTAAATTTTTTTTGGTTTTTTTAAATATTTTTATTTTTAAAAACGGACCAATCAGAAAGTGACACATGGCAAGTGGTGGGTTCAACTAATGGTCAACTAACGGGCACTGACGGTCAACTAACGGAAATACCTCATTAATGGCATGACATGACATTTTACTGTTTGTCAGTGGCATTTGGTGAATTTTGGAAAACACGATGGCATTTCATGAATTTTTTAAGTGCTCAGTGGCATTTCATGAAATTGTCGTAGAAGATATCCAACTATATCGGATTTATTGTTGCGGCACTAGAAGATCTCAAGTTATGTATTCATCAGGGGGAGAAAATACGCGCTGCACTCTTTTTCCCTAGACCATGGTTTTGTCCCACATCAGGTTTTCTTGGTTAGGTTTTTAATGAGGCGGCATCTCGAGCATATTACGAAGAACGTTGTACCCTTTTTCCTTCATTTGGTTTTTATCCCACAGGGTTTTTCCTAATAAGGTTTTAACGGGGCACTCTCTTCGATAATGGACATCCAAGAGGGTGTGTTATGGAATATTTGTGGATATCCATTATCCTCCTTGTATCATTCCGGAATATTCTAGATCTAGGGTTTATTGTTATCTAAGCAAACCCTATTTATATTGTATGTATATATATATATATCCCCACTCTATGGAATAATAGTTACTGATTTATTCTCTCCCCAATTTCTCTCCTATCTCTCTTTATTTCTCTTCCATATTTAACAGTTTCAATTTTTATGAGTAATTTTTTTTGTTTTTTATATTTAATTAAAAAAAAACTCAAATCATAAGATCCATGTATGTAGATAATCTCGTAAGATTATAGTATGATATCATACAGGATTATAGTATGAAATCATACAAGATTCTACACAATCAAAATCTTGCGTGGACCTAGTCCACAATAATAAGGTTATACGCAAACAATTGACGTTGTATGGAACATAGTGACCCTAATTTTAACATACTAACTTTATTTTTAACATAGTAACATTTATTAAAACTTGTGTGACATTTAATATTATTGTGAACCTGAAGTACGACGTTACGTTAAACATATTGACCCTAATTTAAACATAGTAATCTTTATTATTTATATTGACCAGTAGTAACCTTTATTTTAATATATTAACTTTTTTTTATAGATCTTGCTAACGAACGCCCCCGGGGTGTTAAATAACCCTTTAAAATATAACCTAATATAATATTAATTTGGGAATACATGTCAAAATCACGCGTCGATCGGTGTAATTAATGTTTATTTTAAGTTCATATTTTAACTTTTAATTATCTTATCCAACGCCTCTCGGACGATCATTAACTTTTGCCTTTTAATAATACAACTGGTCTCTAATATTAGTGGTACACAGTAAATTAGTGTTGACTAGGTCCATCTAAGAGTTTGACATATACTTTGTAGTTATCTAAAGATCTAATAATAGAGCTGTTTCAAAAAAAAAAAAAAAAAAAAAAAAAAAAAAAAAAAAAAAATCTAATAATAGAGGGTTGAATTTTAAATAAATTTTGCATCTTTGCTCCTCTCAGGGATACCGATCCTCATACTGGGTAGAGGTATTGGTATTGGGCGCTGGCTAGATGACTAAGGAAAGTAATAGATGTCCTTGTTTCTACCCTTCCCTGACTCGACGGCACTTGGGTGAGACAGAGGAGAGTGGAATTTCGTGTGTAGGGGTGAAATCCGCAAATCTACGAAAGAACTTTTTAATGAGAAATGGGTCGATATTTTTTGCCTCCTGGCATGAAATAGCCTCAAGCTTGAATTGGCCTTTCCCTCATACCAATAATAAGGACACTTATATACTCGTTTGTAACAATCCAAAACAAAAGACCAGTAGACCACTATGTGCACAAGTGAAAAATATACTTATATGTCAAATAAGCATCTTAAGGAAACAATCCATTAAAATCTCAACAACGTAAGATTTCATTTATTGACTGTAGATCTTCTCAAAAACTTACAGATCCAACATAGATAATACAATGGACTATGGCTAGAACAATCAGCCATTTAGGTTGTTTCTAGGGGAATATTTACTGCATTTGTTCTGAGTCGGGCTGATTGGTAGAAGCATCTCATCTATCATGGAAGAAGCAATATTTTGCCAATATGCTTGCTACTTTCCATAAGCTGGTGGGCTTCAGCTGCCTGTGAGAGAGAAAAGTACTTGTGAACTACAGGCTTCACCTTCTTCTCTTTGATAGCAGGCCACACATTCTTCTCTACTTCCTTCACAATAAGTGCTTTGTTCTCTGGAGTTCTATTCCGCAGGCCAGCAGCTAAAAAAGAAGTGAAACGTTATTGATACAACAGTCGATCAGGATTCCTAATCATCTAATCATGTCCAAACTACTATGTATGTCAATTGCAGACATTGTAGTGGTGAAAATGAAAAAACAAAATTAAATGTTAGAAGGGTTTAAAGGTGGAACAGGATGTTCTAAATTAGATTTCCTTAAGGTAAGGTTGTGTGGCCTTTACAGAACTAGACCTGCTCCACATTGACCAACAGGTTGAACAGGTCCAGCATACGCAGGAAACTATCATGATCCTCGACAACCAAGGGTGTCCCCGGTGGAACATGAGGTCGCTTAAAGGTAGTATGTTGGATTGGAGTGATCATGTTGTTAAAATACAACAGTGTTGTGATTTTGAGAAATTCCTAGAAAACATTCTAAAGCAATATGATGCCAGCTGTGTGTAGAAAAATATGCATACCTTGCACCGTGAGTCTCTTTGCTGCTAAACTTGCAAGGTTAATTTGTGAGGTAGATCCACCTTGGAAGCCAATAATAAAAAGCCGCCCATCTAAATTCAAGCTGTCAATGTTTCGCTGCAAGTAAACTCCTCCCATGTTGTCTAATATAACATCAACACCTGTTTGTTCAATACAAACAATCATTCTCACTAAGATAGCAAGGATAAAGGGAAACATTATCCCTTTGCCAGAAAAGCTCACTTTTCTGTACCAAACACCGACTGGGTGGTATGAAGAATATGTCTATTCTAAGAAAGTGGCCAATTATATATTTATATGTAACATCCCAAAACGGAAGTGAAACGATATTTGGTAATAAAGCAGGTTTCAGACTATGAAAGAGAACAATGTGAAACACTGTTCCTCACAAAATAATACCTTTTCCAGCTGTCTCTTCTTTCACTCTCCCAACAAAATTTTCTGTCTTGTAATTGATACACACATCAGCTCCAAGATCTTTACAATATGCCAGCTTTTCTTCAGTACCTACATAAGAGAGCAAACAGCAGACCTTAAAGCTTAATTTAACCCACTCAATCTCCAAAAAAATTCAACTTCAGTCTATCAACCTGCAGTTACAAATACTTTGGCTCCATAATATTTAGCTATTTGAATAGCGAAAGTGCCAATGCCACTAGAGCCCCCATGAACCTGTAAGAATAGTTGATTATGGAGAAAAGTCAAAATTTGAGAGAATAGTTTGACATCCACTTTGAAAGAATGGTAGCTTATGAACAAATCATTAAATGAGATAGCACCCTATGATGCAAATAGATAGCAGAAGACGGTAATTTGACAACAAAATTAAACCTCTCTTTAGTATTTCTCTCAGTAGACCCTTTTGGGCAACAGCTGAAGCACACCCTAGAAGCCAGATTGAAACAACTTTTGGTAGCTTCAGTACATTGAGACTTTTTAGAATGTAGGAAAGGGATATGGTCATATAAAACTATTTAACAGTGACATAGATACAATATCAGAGTAGCCTTGTAAGTTACCAAAAATGCTTCTCCTGCAGAAAGTCGGCTTGTCATGAAAACAGTTGACCAAACAGTGCATGCCACCTCTGGGAAACTTGCAGCATCCTTGAGAGAAACACCATCTGGGGCAGGAAGAACCTGTCCTGCAGGAACAGCCACTTTCTCAGCATAACCTCCTCCACTAAGAAGCGCACACACCTGCATTACAACGAACACCATTCATCATCAATAAAGCATGATAGCTTACCTCTGAGGCTCAATCCAAAGTACGAAGTACTAATTTCTAAGAAATATGTATGAACACTTCACAGGAGAGCAGAAGCATATGAAATTTATAACATGATAGCCAAGTCTGATATCAAATGCATGCATTTGTAAAATCATCCTAAGTCTACTGTAATAATTAACTTATATTTTAAATGAAACGATACTACTAGAACTCAGAAGAGTCAGAACTCATGACTCAGGGTTGCTAAACAAATACAATAGTAAAATTATATTCAGTTCACTACAAGTCTACAATGCTTCTAGGTCAGTCATAGTCCTGCACCTCTGCGATGCATTTCTTGTGTTCTTGATGGCTGATGCTATATGTTATGCTAATAATCAATCAATCAAAACCATAAGTGGGGTCGGCTACATGAACTAAAAGTGATTATTCCATAATGCATCAGAAATCAGCAAATGATAGTTCTTACAAAATAACAAAAGAGGTAATCCACCATTACAAATTTACAATCCTATAATTTGTTCACTAACAGACTATTGGGTAAACTACTCAACATGCCTAGTTTACACCATTATACTCTCAATTAATTCCATAAATACCACAATGCTCCAACACAAGCACCTTTTGGGTTGGTTCCATTCTTTTAAGGTAGATTCCCCCCCCCCCCCCACCCTCCTCCCCCTCGTCCATGCTTTTAGTTTATTCAGATTCCTAAGGTGTAGCCAGCTTTTGAGTTTACAACATTCAAAATCAAAACTTTTGGGGCGATTTTTGGCCAGCTCTAAATTCATTTCATCTCTAGCATTACTGATCGTTCTGCTACATCAAACATACAACCAGCTTACATAAAAACAATTAGGTTACCTCCACTATCATCAAACAACAACTTGTTGAACCAAATTGATCACGATCCATCCAAAATAACCCATATCAAATGCAAAGAGAAAATGCACAAATTAACATGATAAATTAATAACAGTAATTCAATCGCATATAAAACAAAACTACTAGTTAATCAACACCCACACATATAAAAAATTGACAAGACTACAACTTTTCAAGAGAATCACAAAAACCCAAACCATCAAACTCCAAAGAACAGCAAATAATAAGAAAAATGAAGCAGAAACGGTAAAAATTTGGAACCTGATCACCAACTTTCCAGCGAGTGACATTGTTGCCAAGTTGAAGGATGGTTCCAGAACATTCTAGACCAGGATAAGGACTAGCCCCAGGAGGGGGAGGGTAGGAGCCCTTCCTCTGAATGGTATCTGCTCGATTAAGGGCAGTTGCTTCAACTTTGATTAAAACTTCATCATCTTTAATTTGGGGGTCTTCTACCTCTTGCAATTGCAGTACTTCTGGACCTCCTGGGCTTGTTATAACTACCGCTTTCATTGTTAATTTCTTCTATGAATCACCAATTTTTATGGGGTTTTAAGGAAAATTCGAAGTGAATACCCAGAATTAGATTTGAGGAAAATCGCTAGGATTTGTTTTAAAGTTAAGCGTTATATTTTGAACTTTGAAGTTTGGACCCAGAGAATAGATTTTTTTTTTTTTTTTTTTTTGTCAGAATGTCAATGCGTGGTTACTATTGGTATCAATATATACCTACAGTGAAAAGAATATATATTCATGTTGTTTAGGACGAGTGATAAGAATCGATCCCCGAATTACCTGAAATTAGGAGAAAAGCTTTAACCATTTGAGTTATCCTTTACTCTCATTGAGAGTATAGATTTGACGACAGGTTTGAGTGTTTAGTAACACCCTCCAATACCTCAAGCCGTATAGATATTAGCCACCACCTGGTTCATGTCATCGTAACCGTTTTTCGTTGTTCCACTTTGACTTCACACAATCTAATATATACAAACAAATGAGGGAGATAGAAACAAAATGCAGGGTCTTTTGTCCGCTTTGCTAGTCAAATACGGGCTAGTTTATAGATAGTTGGGCTTTGATTACCAAGGAATAAAAACTTTACAAATAAAGCCCGAAGATTGGCATTCCATTGCTGTTATTTTATATGTATATGGTTACAAGTATTTACGTTCTCGGTGTGCTTATGATGCCGCACCGGGCGGGCTGTTAGCTAGTGTGTATCATCTTACAAGAAATATTCGTTCAATTAAAAAAAATATCAGTTTTGGATTATATACAAAAAAAAAAAAAAAAAAAAGTGAAACTAAAAATATATCATTTCTCTTTTTCTAGGAAAAAAAAAATTGTTCATCATTTATCATTTATTCGGCTAAAATATTAAGTTCTACGTTAATAAAATTTATCATATCTAATAAACTTTATCACCACAAATCCAGTATTTTTCAATCTTATATAAACTCATCGAATGTTCCGCACAAATAAACATACTTTTGTTTGCAAATTAAGAAGCATATTTTAGAATTTGAACACCATGAAATTATTGAATGCAATGAACAGTGATCATAATTAAGAAGTCAATCATAACTCATAAGTGTTAATTACGCCACTTATCAAGTGGTATGATTAACAATTGATTTACAAAGGATAATGAAAGTCTGAAAGATTTAAAATATATGCGTAAACCTTAATTGTATATTAAAAAAATAGTAATATTATGTATTAATATTTTGTTATTTCGATATTAAATGTTAATTTTAACTATAAATAAAATCCGTGCATCACACGGGTTTAAATCTAATTTAAAGTAAATTGGAGATCAAAATATATGGATTCGTTGATTACTAATCTCTTAGTGTCACGTTTAATTATTGATTCTATACTGACAAAAAGTAATCTAGTATGTAGTATTTGAATAAATGAAAATTATAAAGCCAGTAGATATCATTAACATTAATACTTAAACAAAAATCATCAACAATACTTTTCACCATACTTGGACAACCCTATAGAGAACTCAAACGGGTTAGGTGAGCCATACCGTGTGTTTCTTAATTAGCCTCCTGAAAAACATGATAAACTTAACATCTTCAAAGTGTTAATTTCTCTAACAAAAATTCCTACTTAATAAGTTTACCGCAAGCTATCATTCCCAAAGTCTCAACTCTCAAGTACTCCGTATGATATTCTTAGCATTGCACTGTATTGCCATCTTCAATCCAAGCACAATAAGCTTTAATTTAGCTGTCCAAGAACTTGTTAGGATATTCCTAATACACGATTCATATCTTGATGATTAAGCTGATACGGATTAGAAAAATACAACTAGCTCCAATTTATAAGTTTTACGTAGATAATGTAAACTATAACAATGGCAGTAGGCACGTTACGTTACCTTGGCTTTCACCATAATTCATTCCAAGAATAGGAAAAAAAAATGAACAAAAAATCTCAAAGTTGATCTCAAAAGTGGCTTATAATATTTAATAAGTTTCATGTTACACGAGGCAAATAACAAAAACTTAAACAACAAAATCGAAGTTTAATTCATCCAGCTAGAGAGTCAACCACTAAAACACTTCAATTTACTTCTTAATTAAGGTAATTTTTGCACAAAGTTTATTAAATTTTTGAGTATTTATGAAATTAGGTGAGTTAATAATTATATTTTTGGATTATTCTTGGTTTTTTTTTTTTTTTTTTGTATGAAAATTTCAGAAATTATGGAATCTATGAAGATTAATTGGATTGCTGGGGTGCTTACTTTTTTGTACTTGGTTCCTGCCATTCTTTGTTGGGGTCAACATGGCCATTATGCTACTTGTAAAATAGCCGAGGTAAGACTCGTGTAATGTAAAGTGAAATAGATTGCTTAGACGTGTGAAACGGGTTGTTCGGATCAGATTAAGATCGATCAATCTAGCTTTTAAAGCTTGACTGAAATTTTATTTCCGATTTCTGGGGACCTTCAAAGTTTGATCACTATTGAAATTTGTATATTGTTAAAGTTGTGTTTTGTCTAATGCAATGTTGCAAATGATGTTGCTATTGTTATCAGGAATATCATACAGAAGCTGCTAAGGCTGCGGTTAAAGAGTCAGCTAAAGGCGAACTAGCAGCTGTTTGTTCTTGGCCTGATCTGCCTGAGATTCGTAAAGGCTATCCCTGGAGTTCTGCATTACATTATACTAACACCCCAGATTTTATATGCAAATTTGATTATTGCCGTAAGTTTTACTTCATTCGTTATGGAATCATGCATACAGTGGCCGATCCAGAAATCTTAGAATAAATTGCAGATTAACAGTAATTTGACAGTTTCAGCATTTATATTTTATATAATTTTAATGTTAACATTGTCTGAATTCAGCTAATTAAGTGAGCATACTAATAATACCTCAAAAATAATGTTGACATAAGTCTATTCTTTTACACTACAGGAGACTGCCATGATTCTGCTAACCAAAAAAATAGATGCGTGATTGGAGCAATGTACAATTACACCATACAACTCGAGTCAGCTTACCATAACTATGGAACTCAAAAGAAATGTATGTTGTATATATGCTCTAAAAATATGTTTCTCTCTTTGTTTTCACTTCTTAATTAATCTAACTTATATAACGGAATCTGAATTTATAGATAACTTAACAGAAGCTCTTATGTTCTTGTCTCATTTTGCTGGTGACGTGCATCAGGTGTGTGCTCCTTTCATTAACAATCCGATCATTCAAGTCCTGAGTAACGCGCTAAAACATTTAAAACCTAATTAGTAGCGTTGCCAACTAATTAAACTTATCATCATCAATTTATCTGTGGTTATAAATCTTAAAAACTGCAGCCTCTACATGTTGGCTTCATCGGAGATCTTGGTGGAAATACAATTAATGTGTACTGGTACAATCAAAGCACCAACTTGCACCATGTAAGTTGTATTAATTCCTGTTTTTCCTCCTTTTAAGGGTTTCTATTTTTTTTCTTTATGTCAATATATGTATGTATTTAAAGTGAACTTCTTTTCCTTAGGTATGGGACACAGCTATCATCGATTCTGGCTTGGAGAGATTTTATGATTCAAATCTGACAACCATGATAGGAACGATATTAAGAAATATCACGGTAGGTTTCTTCCAATGCATCAAAGTTTTGATGGCCAAATTCTAGCCTAAATTCTTCAATACATCAGCAAGAATATGGTTTGTAGATAAGAGATGTAGTTTTGCCTACTTTCTAAGGTTTCGTTACTTTGATTTGTTTCCTCTTTACCATGTATATACGGTGTGACCTATTGTGGTGAATGGAACACGACACTTGACAATGTTTCCAGTGTTACAGTATTTCTTTGTACTAACATTTGATACTCATGTTGAGATTTTTGGTATGACCAGGATGACTGGTCCAATGAGACCAAATTCTGGGAAAAATGTAACCATACAGTCTGTCCTATACCGTAAGTTTCTACTTGCACTCTTAATGTTGTATGCTTTCAGTAAATGTTATAATCTTTCGATTCTCCCCTGCTCACTAGAAATAATGTACTACTGTCAACTTGTGCAGGTACGCATCTGAGAGTATTTCTTTAGCTTGCAAATACGCATATAGGAATGCCACGCCAGGAAGCCACTTAAATGCTATATAACCCTTCTTTCTTATACATTGGCTATAATAAAAGATGATTACATGAGTGTACACTTTATAACCAAATAAGATACTACTTGTAAAATAGACTGTAGAAAAAAGAAATCAAAAAAAGTACCTTCATTGTGGAATGGAGGGACTATCTTCCAGTTTTAAGATGTGATCTCCTTTTAGTAGCACATCAAAATGTATACTAGTGCTGCTAGGCTACATGTGAATGTGTCATCGCTGCTAGACTTATGTCTTTGTTTGAGTTAAATGTTGCAAATTTTTGTCCTAACTTCGTTTTCTTCGTTTTGTTTGTCATATAGATGATTACTTTCTTTCTCGGCTGCCAGTCGTGGAGAAAAGATTGGCTAAAGGTGGAATTCGCTTGGCTGCTACTCTTAACCGGATTTTCGATTCCCAAGTCACAACGGAGAATCACAAACAGAAGAAAATTGTGAAGGGTTTCTCTAGTTTATAGTAGTAGGATTATTGGTGATGATTATTGTCAGTGAGCCTTTTCTGAGCATTCAGTGTAAGTCATGATCACTAGAAGTTTGATTGTGATTTTGTGTACTGTTATCATGTTTTGTATTTGGTTGTACAATTTAAATTTCCAAAAGTTAATAAAAAAAAAATATTGCAGATGTGATGCATATTGATTCTGATTGACCTTCAGCTGATAAATGAATAAAAATGGGCAGGAAGCTTTCTCATAATCTATCAGAGCCAGGTTTCGATCCTGGGACCTGTGGGTTATGGGCCCACCACGCTTCCGCTGCGCCACTCTGATATTGTGATAACAATTGCACTTTAAAATATGACACTTAAATATTATGACCTCACTTAAATATTATGACCTCATTTACTTTCATACACATTCCATTTGTATTTTCTTGGGGACTCACTTCTATACTATTCCCGATTTTCCCATATTCTTCTTAATTGACACAAAACTCTACATTGACAAGCATTTGTGAAATTGTGATTTACAAGAGTATTATTTATGGTAAAACCTAAAACATAATCATATAAGATCATCTGATCATGTTAAAAGCACATTAAAGGTGATAATAAACTTGTTGATAATTAGAGATATAAATTATTAAACTTGCGTACTGACAAAGGTAATATCGTAATTGTAGAAAGTGTCAAATAAAATGAACAGAGAAGTACAGAATATTTTATAAAGTGTAGCTAAATAGGACTAAGTGTCACAAATACTTGAAATTTTTAAAGTACACCGTGGGATGGGACACACTTAGAGTTAGGTACACCTAAGAATATTTTTCTACTCATTTGTTATTCCCTCCGCTTTTTTTTAAAATTATTGGTTTGACGGGTATTGTGGTTGAATGGGGTAAAAAAATATTATAAGTAGGATTTTTTGGGAGATTAAAAATCATAGAAAAGAAATAGTGTGGTGATAGGTTTTTTTTTTCTTTTTTACGGGATGATAATAGTTTATGACAAAGTAAGGGATGTGACTATGCGAGAAAAAATAAATATTGAGTAATAAAAAAGTAACAATGGAGAAGGATATAATACTTTGTTCAAAATAAGAGAATATGTCCTAAAAAGGGAAATAATCTATTATCTACTACCTCCAAATTTTTAAGTTGACACGTTTTGACATTAGCAGTATTCACACACCTCCCTCTGACTGTATTTTGTGCTTTGTATGTAATGAAAAATATAGTCGTGTGGGATCTTGTTAGATCCATCACGTAATATACTTTCAAAGTATCAACTTTTCATAATTTTTGTTTATCGATAATTAAAGATATTAATGATTGAATAATTGCATTGGAAAACGTGACTAAAGAAACGTGTCAACTAAAAAAACGGAGGAAGTATTACTAAAACAAAACATTGCTGAAATGTTGACATCATCAACCTTCAAACTATCCTACGTGTCATTTACACATTAAAAATTTTCCTGCCTATTATAAGTGTTATGTCATCAATTATTAATGATTTTTTAATTTTTATTTTTAATCTACACTTTTGACTTCAATGCATAAGTGTATATATATATAATTCAATTTACCAAGTTTCTCTCCTAAGGCCCCGTTCACTTCACCTTATTTTTACTGAACTAAAATTATTTTTGTTGAGCTTAAATTATTTTTACTGAACTAAAATTATTTTTTCTGAACTGAAATTATTTTTACTGATTTTCGATTATATTTCTTCTTTAAAAACACTGAATTTTACTGAACTGAAATTATTTTTACTGAACTAGACTAATTTTTACTGAACCGAAATTATTTTTACTTAATACGGAATACTATTTTGATTGTGGTTTTAATTTTTTTTCTTTACTTTTCTTAATTGTAAATTATTTTTATATTCAATTATAATTTTCATATACAATGTGATGCAACAAAGCATAAATTACAACAAAGATTAATTCTAACCGTGCATTACATGAGGATAACCTAATACGCTTATAAAATTGGTGCACCGACCTCTAGGTGACTACGTACGCCTGAGTGTATAGAAAAGTTTTTGCTCCACACTCTTACTCTGAGTGGTTTTACAGAGTATATACTCTGAATCGAAGTTTAAGTTTTTAACCAAACCATGTTTCTGTTTCCAAATCAAAATTGAATACTTTGTGAAATTAGGATGAAAGAAGTACTTCAACAAAAAAAAACAAAAACAAAAACAAAACAAAACAAAACAAAACAAAACAAAACAAAAAAGGATGAAAGAACAAATTACAAATTTGTTATTTTAATTTTTCTTTTTATAGTCCATTTTCACACTCGCTCTCTACCGCAAATTTAACAACTTTCATATTTAAAAAAAATACAGTAGTAAAATACAAAACAACTTACAAAATTGAAAAATTTGTTAAAAAAAAAAAACCTTTAAATGCCTCTTTTTGCAAGAAAAAAACCTTTTAAACAGATCTTTGTTAAAAAAAAAAACCACCACGATGACTTTTTTTGTTTAATGAAACCTCCACTTACTTTTCGACTGCTCAATTTAGGCACTGAATCTTTCTTTTCCCTACTTGCAGCCTACTGTTGGGTACTTTTCCCTCTTTTTTTTGGCTCCCTAATTTTCCCTAAATAAATATCCTAGGGCAAGCCTCCCCAATTGAATTGAAAAAAAAAAAAATAGGGCAAACTTCCCCAAATCAAAACAATTGAAAGGTAATTTAGGGTTTTTAATCTATTTCTTCCTCATTGAAGTGCTGACTTCACCATTGTAGTACTCAAACCAGCATTCTTCTCTCTTCTCTATCTCATAGTTCTCTTCTTGTGCGTTTTTCTCTATTCTGTAATAGTTCTGTTATTGAGCGTTCTTTTCAACAAATTCAACAAATTAGGGCAACAATTGAACAATTCTAGTCAACAAATCAACAATCCATCAAAGTTTCTGGGTTTTATTTAAGCATCTCACTTCAAAATCACCAACAAGAAGCAACAATTAGATAAATTAGGTTTATTTTTTGTCGAATTTATCTCTTAAACCCTACCTAATTTCACGCAATTTCTGCGATTCAGTACATGAGGGTTTGTACTTCACTATGTAATTAGGAAACCTTGATTTGCGTCCAAACGATCCCTTTCTTTTTCCTTTAGCCATTGATAACAGTAAATACGTGAGTTTCTCACTTGTCTTAAAAAAGCCCTAAATTTTATACTAATTCCAGTAATAATCCGAGGAATTTAGACTTACCTTATGTTTTTGTTGAAGTATTAATGGCGAGCAGGAGAGAGAGAGAGAGAAACCCAAATTGATGTGATAGTATTGCAGAGCATCTATGGAAGGAGAGAGAGAATACAAGGGAAAGACTTTGGAGGGAAATTAAGAGGGGAAAAATAAAAGGGGGAGTGCAAATATAAAAACAATTGGAGAAAGAGTCAATGCCTGAATTGAGCAGTCACTGCTAGAAAAGTAAGTGGATTCAACAAAAAAAAAAGTCATCGTGGTGGTTTTTTTTTAACAAAGATCCGTTTAAAAGGGTTTTTTTTTTTTTTTTTTTCAAAATGAGACATTTAAAAAGTTTTTTAAAACAAATTTTCCTTCAAAATTTGTGCTTCTTCACTATTTTTAGCTTTCTACTGTAATAAAATCTCATTGTACTGTAAACAACTTTCATCTAAACAAACTTCCCTTGTATATATATACAACTTTATACAAAAACCAAAATCAAGATATGCTTACAATATCAATCAACTTCCACAGTATCTTCGATAAGGGCTTAAGGAAATGCAATCAAAGATGCAAAAAAATTTAATTTTTTTCAAATTTATTAAATCCCTAGAGTCCTAGACTACAGTTTTGTTCCTTTTCCAGCTGCTAGCCAATTCTCAAGCTGATCCCATCCCGCTTAATGAAATTTACTGCTGTTCATGTCTTTCATCAGCTTGAGTGTTAGGTTCGTCATTTTCTGCATCAATAGCTGCTATTCTGTTCACTTCACTCTGTAACGAGAAAATCATTAAATAATAATTGATTAGTTGACCTCCTCAAATACCATGTAATTTTGAATTTTCATTAGATCTCACATCAGAATTTTACATAAAAGGAAGGAGAGAGGAGCAGGATTACGGTCTAGAGCTCTATAGAATGTATCTATTGGCTTTGTAGCTACTCCAAAATTTATATACCTATGCAATTTCAATTAAAAGCCTTCTGTTATAGATTTAAGGAAACTGAACATATTTCCACCGCTACAGTATAGTCCAATTATACATGTTGTAGAAGCACAAGAGCAAGACCAATAGCAAGGAGACTAAACTAAATTTGTAAATTAGACTTATAAACTTGAATTTTCCCAAATTAAAATGGAGCAACTAAACAGCATTTTGCTTCACATCTGCAACATAACAGGGAAGTGTATATCTAAATTGACCACTCCAGGATAGCGTTTATCCTAAAATTGTCTAGGAAACACACATAGTTTTTGGGAAATAAACAAAAAGGCAAGTGCACTTAAGAAAAGAAGTGGGGAGTTCAACCAATGAAATTCGTAGTGGCGCAAGCTAAAAGTTAGCCAGTACAGGAAAACAAATATTTCGTACATTTCTTTGTTGTTTTTTTTCATCTTGTTCGTAAGGAAAAATGATAGCTTGGAAAGCATAATCACCCCAAAAAAAGAAAAAAGCGAAACTCCCCTGGCACTCTTAAAAGTTTAAAGGATCAAATGAAATGGAAATATGGAACAAGCTATATGCTAATCAACAATTTATATCAATTGTCTAACATACAGATTCTAATCAACAATTTATATTCAATTGTCTAACATACAGATTCGATATCAAGAAGATGAACTGCTGAAAATGTAGGGTTAAAACATTAAATGGTATAGATATACCTTTTTATTCAAGCCCAAAGCAGATGTGAGCTCATAGAACTTACGCATTAGCATTTCTTCTTCTACCTGAAAGTCCATGAGACCATAGTAATCATGATTATGCTTAAACTTATCCAATGAGGAAACAGAAGAAATAATTTCGGTGTTCTATCATTTCAACACCAAAATACTGCTGGATCCTTCAAAAGTGTAACTATCAATTATCATCTTTTGAAGCAAGTACAACTAAATTACTAAGAGCAACACTATACAGTCTTATACTAATTCTCTTTTATATTCCAGGGAGAGATCAAGCATGTTAACATTATAAGTTCCAAACTCCGCGATAAACACATATAGATTAACGATTAAAATAGTAAATACCTGCAGCCTGTGCAATTCATGAGACATTTTCTTATAAGCATCGTCGAGTAACTCATTCTGCTTCTCCAAGTGCCTACAAAGACAGAGTTAACTCATAAAAAAGAAGGATAGAAATGAAATATAAGATTTGTAATCAAAGATTCAAAGGAAAAACATATACTTCAACATCTCTGCAGCATTTTTGGGATCCATGAGGTTTTCTGAGAAAACACACGGAACCATAATTAGCTATTTGACACAATCAGGAGTGTGAGAGTCAAAGAAAATATTCCCAGATCAGAGGAATTGCTAAAAAAATCGACATTTGCATCTAGCAAACATTTGACATAAAATTTAAAATCTCATACAAACATACATGCAATGAGGAATTCCATAAGAGAATCAATATTTGATTCCATAAGCTAGCTCCAACAGGCTACCACAAATAGAGACATACTCAAGACTCTTTAATTATCACCAATGCTCTTCAAACATATCGCATTATGATTTCAATAATGTAAAGCTTCTATTAAGCATGATATGAGATGTATATACTCCGCAATCCATAATTGTGTAGCCATTATAAGGTGAATTGAACATGGATGGCATTACATGCTAAAACAAGGGGCAGCACGCAAAGCATAAACATTAAACTAATTAAACAAGATTACTCGGCCATTCCAGACTACCAACAATCTACATCACCAGGCTGTCAGTTTCATCTCATCCAACATTGACATTATTCTAGGTAATTGGCTCAAGCATTTATACCAAGGGACCCAAACATCTAGTATACAACAGTTAATACTTGCAGCATTTCCAACTCAACTGTATTAAATTCTTGGAATCATATATCCCATGCCCACATCATCATCCCATAAAGATCAAAAGCTTACAACGATTGAAATTGCTTACACATGTGATTTTCTCCCAGTCAGCAACCCCTTTGAATATGGCGAGCTGAGATGAGGCTTCTTGTGCATACAATCAAAGATGACAACCCAAATTAATCTCTAAGCCTTAATACTATGATCTACTGCAATAGATTCAGCTCTGAGCCTATGTTTTCCTAGACAACAATAGAAATTTGATTTAATATTCCACAATCACAAATTCAGAGAAGAATATCCAGTAATCATGTCCCAACCACCCCCAAAACCACCCACCCTGCCCATCATGAATTCACTCATCCACCACCAAAAATCCACCCAACTCTCTCCAAAAAATACCTCAACAAGGCACCCACCCTGAAAACCACCCAACCGCTAATCAATCACCACCTCTGAATCTCGCCGCCGAGTTGTGCGCTCCGATCAAAATCCTCTCAACGCTCCGATCTGCACTTCTTCCAATATATTCGGTACTCTCTCAGTCTCTTGACTGCTCAATTCAGGCATTGACTCTTTTTTTTCCGTACTTACACCTGATTGTTTTTATATTTGCACTCCCCCTTTATTTTTCCCCTCTTAGTTTCCCTCCAAAGTCTTTCCCCTGTATTCTCTCTCTCCTTCTTCCATAGATGCTCTGCAATACTATCACATCAATTTGGGTTTCTCTCTCTCTCTCTCTCCTCTGCTGCTCGCCATTAATACTTCAACAATAACATAAGGTAAGTCTAAATTCATCGATTTGTTACTGGAATCAGTATAAAAATTAGGGCTTTTTTAAGACAAGTGAGAAACTCACGTATTTACTATTATCAATGGCTAAAGGAGAAAGAAAGGGGTTGTTTGGACGCAAATCAAGGTTTCCTAACTACATAGTGAAGTACAAACCCTCAATTTCGTACTGAATCGCAGAAATTGCGTGAAATTAGGTAGGGTTTAAGAGATAAAATCGACAAAAAATAAACCTAATTTACCCAATTGTTGCTTCTTGTTGGTGATTTTGAAGTGTGATGCTTAAATAAAACCCAGAAACTTTGATGGATTGTTGATTTGTTGACTAGAATTGTTCAATTGTTGACCTAATTTGTTGAAAAGAACGCAGAATAACAGAACTAATAGAGAAAAACGCACAAGAAGAGAACTATGAGATAGAGAAGAGAGAAGAATGCTGGTTTGAGTACTACAATGGTGAAGTCAGCACTTCAATGAGGAAGAAATAGATTAAAAACCCTAAATTACCTTTCAATTGTTTAGATTTGGGGAAGTTTGCCCTATTTTTTTTTTCAATTCAATTGGGGAGGCTTGCCCTAGGAATGTGAAAATGGACTATAAAAAGAAAAATTAAATAACAAACTTGTAATTTGTTCTTTCACCCTTCTTTATTTTTTATTTTTTTTTTTGAAGTACTTCTTTCATCCTAATTTCACAAAGTATTCAACTTTGATTTGGAAACGGAACAAGTGGAAGAACTTACATATGCATCAAACAATTCACATAGTTTCTTTCAAAGATGAAACCTCAAAAGAGGCATTTGGACCATATACTTTGCTGTATGAAAAACTTACCAACTGAAATTTAAATCGAGGATCCATAATTGTAGCAATAGCCATAATGGGAGAGAAATCAGACCAATATTTCTCAAACTTACCCCACATTCTCAATGCCATCTTTCTAACAAAAGAATCAACACTTTCTATTTCATCTTTCAACAACAATCTTACCCTCATAACGTTAGGAAAGTAAAGATTCGCAGTAGGGTACTTTGATCCTGAAAAGGCACAAGTAACATCATAAAAAACTTTCAAATACTTGAAAATTTTCTAAAGCCTAGACCACTCATCATTTGTTGGACAATGCATATAGTTAGTATCAGTTTTCTGAAGATGAACAAAAGCCTTCCTATAAAATATAGCATTCTCTAACATCATAAAAGTTAAATTCCATCGAGTTGGCACATCTTGCCTCAACCCCCTAGCTGAACTCAATGAAACATAAGCAACACAATCAAGAAACCTTTGTTTTCTAGATTGTGAACCCTTGCAATATTTCACAGATTCCCTGACCTTGCAAACAGCATCATCAACCTCTTTAAGTCCCTCTTGGACTACCAAATTCAGAATATGACAACAACAACGAATGTGAAAATATGTCCCATCACAATACAAATCAAGATTTCCTTTCAAACAATCCACAAACACATCATTTGCAGATGCATTATCCAAAGTCATTGACATTATTTTTTTTTCAATTCCACAATCCTTTAACAATGTGTAAATTTTTCAGACATAGCAACACCAGTATGGGGTAGGGGAATGAAAGAGAAGTTTAAAATCCTTTTCTGTAAAGTCCAAGATTCATCAACATAGTGTGCAGTCAGTGAAATATAGCCATCAGTGGTAAGAGATGACAAACAATCAGAGGTTAAGAAAATTCTCCCAAAAACTTCTCGTAAGGTAGCAAGAAGTCTTGCTTTCTCCACATTATAAAGTTTAATTATATCATTTTTAGCGGTGTTTTCACATCAGGTTGTAGGTAAGAAAATACATTTCTAATCCCTTCACATTCAGCAAATTGAAAAGGCAGTCCATGCTTAACAATAGCAATAACAAGCAACTCACGAAAAACTACAGTATTAAAGGTAGTATTTCTAGCTCTAAGACCATCAGAACTAGATTGCAAAAGCATTTGACCAACATCTCTACTACTCTTCTTCTTGCAAGAATTTGAATGTCTAAGTAAATTACCAGTACCATACTTACAATCAGCACTATAAATCTGACCACATTTTTTACACTTACTCAGGCCTGTCCCTGAGGCAGGGCAGGAGGGGCGGCCGCCCTAGGCCCACGGAAAAGAGATTTAATTTCACATTGAATTATCTCGAAAAATACATAATTTTAGGGATATTTGATTCAATAATCAAATTACGCTCTTAATTTTCTTTTCTTTTGGATATGATGTTTCATAATCTAAGAATTTACGAACCCTAAACTTATAGTACTGATAATTAAATTAGATTAGATCAAATATAAACCCTAGATTGCGAAATTGATGTGATGATAACAACAACAAACAACTTACCTTAAAAGCTGCTTCAATGGGGGATACAAGAATTAGATTCAACGAAGAACGCTTCAATGGAGAACGTTGAGTGCGCTCCAATGAAATAACTCGGAGAGGTAGGAAATAGGAATGGAGGCCTTTAAAAGCCATGACCCGCCATAATTATAATATGGGTCTGATAAATAAATGGGGCGGATCTTATCGTCTAATTATGAGACAGGTGAACTTTATAAAGGGTCGTTTGGTTCGCAAAGCGGAATCGGAATGAAATGGGGAAAGGGTATGGAGGAGAATGGAATGAAACCCTTGAAATTTAGGGTGTTGTTTGTTTTAAAAAAACAAAGGGAATGATTCCATGGAACCACCACCACAGCACCACCATTAAGGGTTTTATTTTAACTTTTTTTTTCTGGAAATTGGTAGTTTGGAATTCCGGCGGCGACCAGCGAGGTCGGAGAAGTGCCGACGAAGGTGGAGCGAGGTCGGGGGAGGTGCAGCAAGGTCGAGGGAGTGCCGGAGAAGGTGGAGCGAAGGTCGGGGGAGTCCGGCGAAGGTGGAGCGAGGTCGAGGGAGTCCGGCGAAGGTGGAGCGAAGTCGGGGATCGCCGACGAAGGTGGAGCGAAGGTCGGGGATCGCCGGTGAAGGTGGAGCCAAGGTCAGGGATCGCCGGCGACCATCCGGCGAGGTTGGTGGGATGTGGGTATGGTGGTGGTTGGGGAAAGGAAATGGTAAAGGTAGGGGGTGGGGAATGGGGGTGGAATAAAAATGGGTAAGCCCAAAAATAAAAAAGGAGAAAGGGAATGACAAAAATAGCAAAACAAACGTTTTTCAAAGGGAATCATTCCCATTCCCTTTCCCCATTACAGCGAACTAAACGGTCCCTAAAGGTTTTAAGTAAACATGTTTTAAATATCAATAATAATAATAATATATAATAACTATATACTAAAAGACACACCAGTGACACGTGTCATTTCTTGGTGTGTCCTTAATTTTATTTTATTTTCAAAAAAAAATTCAATCATAGAATAAAATCTTATACGAAAAAAATTTATTTTATATGTTAATAACAAAGATAATTACTTTAAATAGAAAAGAATATTAATATGATTTGCGATATATAATGATTTACTACATGAGAATATTTATATTTTTTTTCCCCTAAAGTTGTTTATTTATTGATTAAAATTCACAATAGAGTAGTGCATATACTTTTACTGCCCCATGAATGATAATAACCCCGCTATTTCCCTTCTCTAAGTGAAAATGAGTTACTGTATTTAATTATTTTATTTTATTTATAGAAACATTACTATTTTCTACCTTAATATATAAAAATTAGTTAGACTATACTTCATAATATTAATATAAACACACACAAAAATCTCATGAAGATCAATATTACAATATTATTTATTGCCCTCATCCAAAACATGTTGATACTATATATAATTATATATTTGAATACAATATCTACACATCAATATTTCAATTACTTAATAGACGATTTTATTACTTTGTATTTAAGAATATCAAATTATTCAATTTATACTTAATAGATATATCCACTTATCTTTGATATTTTAATCAAAGATTTTCCACAGTGTTTTTAGATTTTTTGTTTTATTGTTGTAAAATAACCAATTATGTTGAAAAGTTGATATTAATTTTTTAAAATTGTCGTGCATGGCACGAGACCTAACCTAGTTTTTAATATTTCCATACACCAAAGCTTGTATCAATTCTTTGTAAGTTTTTTGGATTTTTTTTTTTAAAAAAAAAATAGCTGAAATTACATTAATTAAACTGAGTTTACAACAAACGAAAGGACAGTAAAGTATCATAAGTTACTATTGGCATAAGAAGCCCTTACACAATACCAATTAAGGTCTTTAACGATATTTACCTTTAAGCTATTACAACGAGTGAGAACAACGCATATAAGACTTACCAATATACATTTAAACATGCAATGAGACTATTGATTGAACAAGGGAAATTGGTGATGGTGTTTCGTGTTGTGCAAGGTATTTTCTAACATACAACTAAAAGTCTATGAATGTTGTTGAAATGACGGAGACAACCCAAAATCAGTATGCCTTACCCTAAGGGACCCCAATAATTCAAATGGACAAAATTTTCTTGAGATCTATGCTTCATACATGTCAATCACATTTATTGCGATCTGACAAAACCATATCTTATACTCCCTCCGTCCCATAATTATATAATTCCTATTGTGTTTTTTCACGATATTTAAGAAATGGAAGGAAAAGTGGAAAAAAGCTAGACAAAAGTACAAGGCAAGTGGATAATTTAAGGGGAAAAATGTGAAAAGTACAAGTATAGACAAAAGTTAGAGAGAGAAAGTGAAAAAAGTACAATGCAAGTGGATAAGTTAAGGGTAAATTAAGAAGTTTAATGAATAAAGTAAAAAAATAAGGGCATAATGATCTTTACATACTATTCAAAAATAGAAACAGAAACAAAATTTCGGGTCTCTAAAATAGGAAAACATAAACTATATTGTGGGACGTAGGGAGTATATATAAACTGGGTCTCTAAAATAGGAAAACATAAACTCCCTACGTCCCACAATATAGTTTATGTTTTGGATGAGGGCAATAAATAATACTGTAATATTGATCTTCATGAGATTTTTGTGTGTGTTTATATTAATTTTATGAAGTATAGTCTAACTAATTTTTACATATTAAGGTAGAAAATAGTAATGTTTCTATAAATAAAATAAAATAATTTAATACAGTAACTCATTTTCACTTAGAGAAGGGAAATAGCGGGGTTATTATCATTCATGGGGCAGTAAAAGTATATGCACTACTCTATTGTGAATTTTAATCAATAAATAAACAACTTTAGGGGAAAAAAATATAAATACTCTCGTGTAGTAAATCATTATATATCGCAAATCATATTAATATTCTTTTATTTTTAAAGTAATTATCTTTGTTATTAACATATATAATAAATTTTTTCATATAAGATTTATTCTATGATTGAATTTTTTTTTGAAAATAAAATAAAATTAAAGACACACCAAAAAAATGACACGTGTCATTACTGATGTGTCTTTTAGTATATAATTATATATATAATATTATTAATACTTTTAATATTTAAAACATGTTTACTTAAAACATTTATAAAGTTCGCCTTTCTCGTAATTAGACGTTAAAGATCCGTCCCATTTATTTATCAGACCCATATTATAACTATGGCGGGTCATGGCTTTTAAAGACCTCCATTCCTATTTCCTACCTCTCTGAGTTATTTCATTGGAGCACACTCAACGTTCTCCATTGAAGCGTTCTCCGTTGAATCTAATTCTTGTATCCTCCATTGAAGCAGCTTCTAAGGTAAGTTGTGTGTTGTTGTTATCATCACATCAATTTCACAATCTAGGGTTTATATTTGATCTAATCTAATTTAATTATCAGTGCTTTAAGTTTAGGGTTCGTAAATTCTTAGATTTGAAACATCATATCCAAAATAAAAGAAAATTAAGAGCGTAATTTGATTATTGAATCAAATATCCCTAAAATTATGTATTTTTCGAGATGATTCAATATGAAATTAAATATCTTTTCCCCCGGGGGCGTTCGTTAGCAAGATCTGGCCTTATTTTTTTTCTTCTTTTATACAATCTCTTTATAGGAAGAAAGTTAATTATAGCAATTATATTGTTGCTGTAATTAGAAAATTGGTTGATCAAAGATGTTACTGTCGGTCTTTTGTGATATCGTTTGAAGCTTTACGCAGTTTCGCGGTAGATCAAGAATTTTTAATTGCATTGACATTTTGAAGCTTATGAGTGATACTCTATAGATTGGTAGCTTAAATAAAGTATTAGTGCATTGAAATTTCGAAGGGACTCATGATACAGAAAAAGGAAGCTTTGTTAAGTGGTTAGGTAATATGGAATGATGTTTGTTGTAACTTTTGTAATTCTTTGAGGAGATTGCTGTATTGTAAGAAATTTGTTGCTTGTGCTTCTGATGATGTTACTTTTATTTGGCTTTTGGCCAATTTTGTACAGATAACCAACATGTACAATAACGTGGGAGTTCAGCCTGGAGGCCAAGCCGGCCAACAGCCACAATTTCCTCCCCAAGCTAGTCCATTTGGGACTGCTTTCACTGGAGCTGGTTCTGGGTTGCTTCGCAGTGGATTGAGTGCATATGGAGAGAAAATATTTGGTTCAAGCTCGGAGTATGTGCAAAGCAATGTAAGTGCCAATATTCTTTTGCTTTAGAGATCTACTATGGCTGTCTTGCTGTTTTGTGTAATAATTTTGATGTATTAAGCTTCTTGAGTTGGCATCTAATTTTCTTGAGCTTGGCTAAATTTATGGCTATGGGATTTTCACATTGTTGTTTTACAAACATGGAAGGATGCAGATTTTAGGAATAACTTTGTTGGTTGTTGAGAATATCCGGTGAAAATTTTCATCTTTTAGAAAAGTGAGAACCCTGTTACTTACTCTGAAATTGGTTGTTGATTATTCCATGTGTTTGTGAGCTTCTTCGACATCTCGAACTCTGTATTGACCCCCCCTCTTCCTATATACCCTAAAGAAATGCATTTTAATTTTTTACTTAGAATGAGCTACCACTGCTATACCTTTTGAGTATTAGAGCTGTAAAACCAATCAGGCTGGTCAATATAAGAGTGTTTGAATACTTGTATAGTTGTATTTATATGTTGGAATGGTGGTTGTGTTTTTGAGTAAGCAGACGTAAACATTCTGATCAAGTTGTTTTATACATTACTTATTGGGTTTGATTTGCCATTATATAAATTCACTTGTAATTAAGTCATTGGAAATCAATGGTGGAACTTTCTCCCTTTGATTTCTTTGGCTACGTATAGCATTTGCTGATAGATATATTCAAATATCTATATATTAATGCCAAACATTGCATGATATTGGTTGGAAGTTTAATTTAAATCAGTTGCGCTGAAAAATCACATGATTAGTCATGTGAGTTAGAAACATACCAAAGCTCATAACAATTTTCGATCAATTCAAAGACATGAAAGATTCTTGCTGCCACGAAAATCCATTAGACCCACAAAAGACTCAGCTGCATATATGGGACCCTTGCGGATGATGATAGCCTTCTAGTAATACAGATGCCTTGACAAAAGTTGTATCACAAAATTCAATGTGAGCAATACACAAAATGAACATCCTATTACGATAATTTTGCCACGATTCTTAGTTAAAATCCAGCATCTTGAGGGTTTATGAGAATTTGGACAATGGACAATGGAGACTAAATTATAATGAAGACCATAGTTCAAATTATGATAATTTTGGAAAATACCCCTCTGCCCCTATGTGTTTGCCCCATTTGATTTTTATGGTCTTTAATATACTTCTTATGTTTCTTTTTAGTTGACACGTTTCTTTAGTCACGTTTGCCAATGCACAAATTCAACCATTAATATATTTAATTACTGATAAGGTTAAGTTATAAAAAGTTGATATTTTGAAAAAATATATCATGACGAATTTAATAATATCCCACATGACTATATTTTTCATCACGTATAAATCACAAAACATGGTCAAAGAGAAGTGTATGAATAGTGCTAAAGTCAAAACATGTCAACTTATAAAAAGTGGAGGTAGTGTTTCAAAACATAAATATCACGGGTTCCATATGCGTAAAAAACTAAAAATTATGAAAATTTGATATTATAAAAGTAATTAGTGTTACGAATGTTACAAGATCCCACTTTAGTATATTACTTCTTACTTCATATAAATTAGCGAGAAATTGTGGTACAATTTTTAAAAATTTGATCCAATAAATTACAACAAGGCAAACAACTTGGGACGTAGGGAGTAATAATAGATATAGTGGTGACTTAAAAGCACAAAAAACAGAAGATTTGTGACAATTCACAACTAAGAGCAAATTTTCATTATCAAAATCTAGCATGTTGAGAATTAAAGTATTTCCTCTAATCTAGAAATATTACATCATTTGCACATTTGACGCTATTCACGCGAGTAACAACATATTTTCATTTATACATAAAGAAAGATATAGGTCATGTGAGGTCTTGTTAGATTTGTCTCGATATATACTTTCATAATATCAACTTTTTTATAATTTTTTACTTTTACATAACTAAAGATATTTAAGGTTGAAATGTGCATTGGGATGTGTAAACTCCCCCCCCCCCCCTCTTCCTGTGGTGCAATAATTACAGAATGGAGGAAGTATATTTTTATTTTAAAAAATAGCTACTCTATGCTGTCAAAAGGGAGACCATATATTCTTGTGAGCCTGTTACTCAGCTGATTCAGAGCTGATTCAGCTCTGAAAGAAACTATTGGGGCAAGATCAAGTTCAAACTACAGATTTTATTACAGCCCTCTTTTCCCTTTTTATCCTTTCTTCTCTGGCTGTTAAGAAGTTTAGGCTGCAAAACTTCCATAAACTACCTCTAGCTCATAGAGTCAAACTACTTCAACTTAGAAAGCTGTAAATTACAAGTCTTGAAGTAGGCAAACATTTAGGTATGAAGGGCATACAAGCAAAATAGTAAATAGCTGTTGTTGCACAGGGATATTATATATGAGTGATAAAATCACTTAGTAGAAGTAAATCTGTTTGTTGCCTTGAAATGTCATTAAAATGGCTTTGAGTAATAACTTTTTGTTGGTTAGGACCCAGCTGTCTTGACCATTTATTAATTCATCAGAAATCATATTGTTTTAACCTTTTTTTTTCCTCTCCTGACATGTTCCGCCTAATGACTATATTTTATAGTGCCATTTGTTGGAGAAACTACATTTTATTTTGGTTATATGTGGCCAATCCCTGGCCCCTTTTTGCTCCTCAACCATTTTTTTGAACTGTATTTCTACTCTCCAGTTTCAAGAGTTCTCATTTTTTTTTACTTGCTGTGATGATAAATCTGACAGATAAGTAGGTACTTTGCTGACCCGCAATATTATTTCCAAGTGAATGATGACTATGTGAGGAACAAGTTGAAGGTTGTTCTGTTTCCTTTTATGCACCGGGTAAGCCTTTCATACCACAATTCCTATACTGTCTGGTTGTTAAGCCAATAATTTTCTGTATTTTATTGTACTGTCGTTCTTATTCTGTTTCTCTTGATGGCTTTTTTAAATAGGGGCATTGGACGAGGATCACTGAGCCTATGGCAGGCAAAATCTCCTACAAACCTCCAATTTATGATATCAATGCACCAGATCTTTACATTCCTATGATGGCATTTCTTTCGTATGTTGTGCTTGCTGGATTATCCTTGGGGCTGAATAGAAAGTAAGTATTTGGCCTACTTGTGCATGTCTCGGATCAAAATTTAATCTGCGTATTCTATGTTTTGACTCCCAATTAATATGTATCATACTTCGTAATTGTTTGGGATTTGCTATCTAGAATATGTAGGACCCTGGTGAGGTGTGAGCTTCATGTGTGGGCTGGTTCTGTCTCCCTGTATGGAGGCCCAACGCCTTTCCTGTCAATAAAGAAAGATTGTTTAATTTGAGTAGTAATCTTCAATTTGATACTTCTGTAGACACTTTGAGATGGTCAGCATAATCCTTCCGATTCTAGCACTTGAAAGGGATAGTGTATTCCTTTTATGAACTTGGGTAAAATCTCTGGAAGTTTGTAACTGAGTCAGTAGAATGAGATTCTTTTGACCTCAATTTTATGATTTAATCTGGAAATTATACTAGTTAGGTCATTGGTGGCTGGTTGTACCAGTTTATAAAAAGGCACCTAGGTGCTGAGGCACTAGGGATTAGGGTAGAGCACCTATTTTGCTCTAGGCGAGGTGCATATAAAGAAGCGTATAAGGTGCACTTGAGGCGTACTTGAGGTGCTCATAAGCAAATTTCTGTTAACTGTTTTATATTGTGCACCTCACTTCAAAGAAGCGCACCGAGGAGGCGTGCCTAGGTGCAGCAGGACCTTCATTGCCTCATTGTCTTTGAGCTTTTTTATACATTGGATTGTACTACCAGGTTGTTGAAAGGGTTAGTGAAATCTTATTGAACAAACAAGATGTAATTAACTCTGGAGGTATTTTCCAAATGTGAGACTAGGTTTCTTATGTACTTTTATGAAGATGACTGGCCTGTATTACAAGTGTAATGGTGGCCATTTGTTTAGTTTATGCCATCTTAATTAAATCTCAACACTTGCAGAAGATTTGATCTGATTCTGGCCTTCTATAAGTTGAGTTTCTTTGTATTATACTTAGCGTGCAAAAATTTAGTGATTGATGTGGGCTTCAATAGAGGGGTAAGTTACTGAATTTCTGGCCCTAAACCCAAATACCAAGCCCTAAAATTTAGTAAATAAAGTGTGATGGATCATGGTATGACCCGACCCATACGAGTGTATACCCGGAGGTCCAAAGGGAACAACCCAAGAGTCAATGGTCAAGAAGTCAGCAACAACAACAAAGAACAAGAAGACAAATCCCATTAAGAAGCAACTAAGGAAAACAAGCAACAAAGCTCCTATTATGTCTAAATTGGTTTTGCCATTTTAGTTAATATTCACATGTATCAACCTAAGACTAGTTCTATAAGTATGTTAGTAAACTTAGAAGTAGGCATCCAGAAATTGAGTGACTTGTATGGAGAGTAGTAGCCTCAAGCTATTAATAGCCTCAAGCTATTGTTATCTTAGTTGCTTAATCAATCAATTAAACACTCAAGGTTCCTTCTAGAAATCTTAATTCGTATAATTGCTTGCGCGTAGTAGTAGTCTATTACATAAAGAAGAATAAATCTCTATCTTTGATGACTTTGTGGTAGCTGATGCAAGGGGTTCGAAGTCATGATCTCTATCTAGGGCATAAGGTTAAGGATGGCTTTGTTTGATTTTGTCGTTGATCAGTGCTCCTGTAGTTTGAATTAGGAAGAATAATTCTTTTGTGCTTTCTGATGCTTAAATTTCTTATTGTAATGGTTCTGTGGCCTTTTTACTTCAATCATTTATTCCATGATCAAAAGTAGTATAATTCCTGAGCCTCCTGTTTCTTTTCTAGTTGTGTAAAAATCTTGATTTTTTTTTTTTTTCCTGGGTTTCTGTTTGTTATTATACTCTGAACTTAGCCACTTGTTTTACCAAATTGGTTTCTGATTATCATTATACTCTGAACTTAGCCACTTGTTTTACCAAATTTCAGGTTTAACCCAGAGACTGTAAACTGGCTGCTCATGAAAGGACTAGTGGGGTGGTTTTTACAGGTTTTACTACTCAAAATGTCATTATTGTCACTCAGCAGTGGGGAAACACCATTGTTGGATATCGTGGCATACGCAGGGTATGCATTTACAGGCATATCTTTGGCTCTTGTTGGGAAACTATTGTGGAGACACTCTTATTACGTCACGTTACTCTTGACCTGCCTTAGCATGGGAATTTTTCTGGTGAAGACTATGAAGAGAGTTTTGTATGCAGAGGTGAGGAGTTATGACTCAGGCAAACATCATGTGCTCTTGCTCTTGATTGCATTGGCTCAGTTTCCACTCTTCTTGTGGCTTGGGAACATAACTGTCAACTGGCTGTTCTAGCCCCCGAATATCTAGTTGCTTGTTGTATAGCTCTAGCATCTAGGTGATACAGACTCCTTTGCCAAGGATTTTTACTGTTTGTGTGGTGCGTACTTGGAGACTGCGTTGTCCGGACCATACTGTTGTCTGTTAACAGGATAAAATTGGAGTTATTCATTGTCTATAGGATCAAACTGTAACCGCTAATGTTGTTATATTGATAATTTTTGGTAATTCAGGAATAGATATGATTTCATATGCAGTTGAATTTTGGGTAATTCATGCCGGAAAGACAATTGATGCCTTTTAAGCTTATATGGCTATAAGCTCTTTAGTGTATCTGTCCAACTTATCTTTCATGTTTGCCACTTCCAAGATCAAATGTGGAAGTTGTTAGCACACTGAAACCTTCGTCTAAGTTATTAGTGCAATTTGAGAAAATACAAGTTTATCTTCATGATAAACAAGTAAATTTCTTATGGAGTTTCTAACGTGTCCATAGGTATAACCGCACGTCCGCACAATACTAAATAAGATATAAAAGATTCATTATGTATAAAATTATTCTTACAAATATAATGAGAATATTTTCTTAATTAATTAAATAAAATTGATGATTTTAAAAAAAAAAATTCTTTATGGCTTACCCTTCATGTAGTTACTCTTTTAATACTTGTTGTACGAACGGGTATTATTATTATTATTATTATCATTTTTTTTGGTGTTTAGAGAGCCACAAGGGCGAGGGTAAGAATTGATTTCAGGATCTCTTGGAAGCTCTAATCACTTGAGCTATCCCTCACTCTCACGATGGTATATAATTTGTGAGACATAAATATTTTTTTTTGTTGCAACTAGAAAGAATTGGAGGTAATATAGAGTTTTTCTTTAAACAAAATACAAGTATATTTTTATAACTTAACATGTGCACGTGAACATATGAGAAACCATTTTGTAATTAGTGAATTCTTTTGGGTTAACATGAAGGCCGAAAATCTGAAACTTCTTTTGAAAGATTTTTACTAACCTAATTTCAGACAGATTTTGTTAAATACAGTTAACATTACACACACGTTCGCCAAAACTCAAAAGAAAGAAAATGCGCATTGGTCACTCTGATAAAAACGGGGATAATATTTAATTTCCCCCAAAATATCCTGATTTTCTTTGGTCATTGCAGTATGGTTTATGACCAAGAATTTGATATTTACTTGGGTGCTCTTTCTTCAGCACCAGTACAAACTTCAAAGTGTTGACTTTTCTGGGTTTTAATAGCAATTGAAGGACAGGTGAAAATTGTTTCATTTCATTTTTATTTTTTATACTGTAATATTCTATGACCCTTTTACCTAATTTTTTGTGGGTATTAATTTCTGCTAATTAAGATTTTTTCTTTTAAAATATAATTTATGTGCAGGTAATTGGAAAATGGGGTTGTCCAAGTTTTCATGGGTTAGTGGGATTGCAATTGTGTTTCTTCAGCTGGTTACTGGTAGTTTTGGTTGGGGACAACATGGTCATTATGTTACTTGCAAAATTGCTGAGGTAAAACTAAGGTAGATTTTGTTTTATTCTTGAGAATTGATTTATTTATTTATTTTGCTTTTTTTTTTTTTTTTTTTTTTTTCCAAAAAGAATTGATTTTTGAGTAATGATTGATGAATTAATGTTGATTTACAAATACTTTAATTTTATCTAAGTATTGGTTAGTTCTGATGGTAGAGTACTAAGAGTTGTAAACTGTGCAGCATGGTTTATTATTGTTTAATATAATGATGCACCTAAGGTAAGATAGATGAGTTTGTTGATGGTTTATTATTGTTATGTGGGGTGTTGTGTTATGACTCCTTTAGTGAGAACTTAAAATTTTCGGACGGTAGATTAAGGTGCTGGATCAAGGCTTTGCTTCTGAATTGATGATTTTTCTAGCTTGGATTATTGTTGTGCCCAAGTGCCATACTTTGCTTGGCTACTAAGGTTCGAGTAAATAGAAGTGGTTAAGAATGCAGATTGATCACTCTGACTATAATAGGCATGTGATTTGGCTGGATGATCCCCTGGGTGATTATATTTTGGTGTTGGCAATTCAAAGTTTATAAGTATACTTAGTTTACATAAAAAATATTCCTGTTTTACATCCTTCACATTTTTGTGGCAAAGAAAAACCCAGCACAATTGTTGACCGGTTTGAAATATTGTAGTGTTAGAACCCAGCACAGGATACTTAATATGGCTCAGCTCCACTTAAGAGATTTCTGCAATAATAATGTACTTCTTTCAGATAGCATGGGTCTCAGTTTTATTTGCCGTATGTTTAAGCTCTGCAGAGTAGCTGAGTTGATTTGTCAATTGTTCTATACCTCTTCTTTTCTATGCTTTAGCTATTGTCATGCAACTTTGTATCAAAATTCGAAGGCTTTGATTAGTTTGACGCAGATTACATCAAAAGGAATAATATTCTATGTTTTATATGGGTTCCACCTTTTGCTTGACCAGCCAAGAATTGAAATCCGTTCAAGTGAAATATTAAGTTGCTACATGCTATATATTGATCAATTTGAACAATTCTCCTCCTGTCGCTGCTAAGTACGATTTAATTTCTTTGAAACTCATTTGATTCCAAGAGGTGACATCTCTGGATTAGATTATCCCTTCCTCAGTTCCTCTCATGTCCAGATTTTTTTACAGCCTGTCATACTGCTCATTGTTGTCTCTTCTCGGAGGTTGGAGCACTCATTTTCTTTCTTGTCACATAAAACCCATTAAAAATAAATAAGGAATGAAAAGCAAGGAAAAGGATTATTTTCTCATGTGAATATTCATATTTCAGGGATATCTTACAGAAAATGCCATGGCTGTTGTAAAAGAACTGCTCCCAAAGTCCGCTGAAGGAGAACTAGCAGCTGTCTGCTCCTGGGCTGATTTATTTGCAGTTCGCTCCCACTATTACTGGAGCCGTGCATTGCATTTTGTTGATACACCTGATTTCAGGTGTAATTATGACTACACCAGTAAGTTGATTGCCGGATCTCATCTTCACTCTGCATAATTGCCTATCTTTCACAATCTAAATTAGTGCAAAAACTTGATTGAAGATACGTGACATTTGGCCAATTTAAGCCCTCCGAATTGAAAATATGTTTCGAATACTTGTTTCCTGAATCCTGATCAAGTTGGCTTGACACTGGCTGTAACATGTGTATTTACATGTTTTTTCTACCTTGCTGTGTTTCCTATATTTGTTTACTCTTACAATGTTTGGATTGTATTCTGCAGGAGACTGCCATGATTCTTCTGGACGCAAGAATAGATGCGTGACTGGGGCGACCTACAATTATACATTGCAATTAATGTCAGCATGCCATAACTCAGCTTCTAAATCTAGATGTATGAGTACCAAATTCTTCTCGTTTTAGCTCTGTCTGTGATGCTGAGAACTGATAATTTACTAAATACAGATAACTTGACTGAGGCTCTCATGTTTCTGTCACATTTTGTTGGTGATGTTCACCAGGTTAGTGCTCTTCCTTGTTAAATAGGCTTTGTAGCAGTGAAGTCCTAGATTTCATATAGTGATGCAGAATATAACATTGAAAAACTCTGCACAATATATACTTATATATGTATTTCTTAGTCAAGTGATCTGCAGGACTAAATTTTATGCTTAAGATAGAAAAGTGTTACTATCAAGTGCTCTTATTCAAGTTTTTGGTTGTGGTTTCATTTTAGCATTTGAATGTAAATTTGTTTATTCTGAGTTTTTTTTTTATTTTTTTTTATTTGAGTTTTACAGTGCTTATTGTCAAGCTGAGCTTTCAAGTCATTTTTTTTTGACAAGCTGACATAGGAAGAAGGGTTTTTGGCAATATTTTTCCTACTGGAAATGAATTCTTCTTCATGTGTCTAAGCTGTCTCTTATTTCCATTATCTTTTTTACCTAATAGTTGTCACAGATGTGTGTGTATTGAACGATTTCCTGAATCTATTCACTTATTACTGTATCTATGTAAAACAAGCAGTTATTTGGGTTTGTCCTGTGCAGCCTCTGCATTGTGGTTTCCTTGGCGATCTAGGAGGGAACAGAATTCATCTTCATTGGTATCGCAGGAAGGCAAATTTGCACCATGTATGTTTTCTGTGTCCCACGATTCCCATCTCCTTTTATGGATTATGAATTCAGTGAATGACTTTAAGATTGAAGCCAATCAATTTTTAAAATACATAATGAGGCGGACATGAGATTTCCTTTCATTTGGCTAAATTACATGGATTGATGAATATATGTGTACTGATGACAGAAAAGATTACTGTAGTGTGCTGTCTGCACAGAAAGTAATTAACATGTAATATTAATATCTCACACCCTCACACCAGGAAATGTTAATCATTATGGTTGTGTTAAACTAGTAAGGTGACTACTAATTCAGCGGTATAGAATCATACTGAATAAAATTGTGCAGGGTTTATCTGGTTTATGTTCTTTCGAGTTTCAGGCGTTTTTATTTTTTTTTTTATTTTTTTTATTTTTTTACATCTTAAACTGCCGGTGTTTGTTTCAGGTGTGGGATACAGAAATCATTGATACTGCCTTGAAGAGGTTCTATGGTTCAGATCTGAACATCATGATAGAATCCATGCAGAAAAATATAACGGTAAATTTTCTTTTATTGAATGTTGTCTTACAATAACTTTCATTGCATGATAAAATTTCTTAAACATAGATTCCATTTTCTGCAAAGATTCAAATTGTGTATGCTTACGTATCTTACCAACTTTTGGATTCCTGCTAATTTACTAGTCTTCAAGTCCATCAACATGCTCAAAATCTTGTAGAACTATCATTCAGCAAGATAATTTGTGTCTATACAATATCTTGGGTCATGTTCCATGTAAATTCTCCTCGAGAGAATGGAAAAACAACAAAATGCTGCTATCTGTCTTCTCTTTTATCAGTATCTGCAGTTTCACTAACTTATTCTTGCTTTCTACCTCCCATTAACATTTCTATTCTTTCCATTTGGATATTTTAGGAGGATTGGTCTAACTATGTTGAGTCGTGGGAAGAATGTGATGCAAACTGCACAGTTTGTCCAAATCCGTAAGTATGCTCATTGGAAATCTTCTTAAACATTGTTTGTCATCTGGAATTGGCCATTTGGGACTTTAGTGCAATTCATGTAGTATTTTTGTTCTGCAAAGCTCAAGAAATTCTGTTCTCATGAAAGCAGAAGGCGACAAGAACCATCAATACTGTAGTTGCCAATAGTATGGCTATAAAAGACAACAGTCTCTTGTAATTTTAAAGATTTATAACGGAATGCCCTTCTGCAGGTATGCATCTGAGAGCGTTAAACTTGCTTGCAAATATGCATACAGGAATGCCACACCAGGAAGTGTATTGGGAGGTGAGTATTACAAAATTATGTGCTTCATTGTCTCTTGACTAGCAAGACTATTAGATTGCATACTGCTGGTGTGAGGCAAGACTAATGAACATTTACAGCCACAAATTGACATTCTGAAAGGAATAAGTCCCTCATACGTCACAACACAGTGGAATCCATTGTTCTTTCTGTATTTACAAATGGGAATTAAGCATTTAATACAAGTACTGCATGAGATTTTGAACAGGGAAACCCTTATAAAAATTGAAGGTCAGAACAAAACATAGAGTGTGATCTGATTAAGCTACGCAGATTAATCTCTAGAACCCTTTTCAAATTAGCTTCTTTTGGTTATCTTGCTTTCTCAGTAGATTGATCCTTTCTTCTATGCTGATTATTAGCCTTTTTATCTCAATACATCTATACTGGAGAATGGAGGTCTATGTTCTAGTATGTTCTAGTGAGTGTCTCACGATACATAGGAATCAAAGTAAATGTCTGAAGCTGAAGCACCCTGATTGCAATTTAGTCTAGCCTCCTCCTCTCATCTCACCCCCTGCGCCTCCTACTGTTACTTAACCTTTTAGTCTTGAATAAGTATTGTAGACTGCCTGATTCACAATTCTGCTTTGTTAATTGCTTACTGCTTCTTGATTTAGTAGTATACACTGCGTGAATGTTGGGATAATCATGTTGTGGGAATGTGAACTAGAGATGGAATTTATAATCATTTAGTAGTCACACAAAGAATGTTTCATTTTGTTTTCTTTATCTAATTAGATTTCTGATGTCTTTATTTTGTGTCATAGACGAATACTTCCTCACTCGGCTACCCATAGTGGAAAGGAGGCTGGCTCAAGGCGGAATTCGCTTGGCAGCTACTCTCAACCGTATATTCAACAGCTCTTGCGGGCTGATCTCTAATGTGGGAAAAGGAGAGCAAGGAGTCAGTTTTGCATGAGACTGCATCGTTCAATTCTTATTTGAAAACGACTCACACATATTGGAGAAGACCATATCATCATTCTTCATTGCTGTACATATTGAGGTAATCTACGGAGAAGTTACTGGATCATGTATATATTGAAAATTTGAAATGTGTGTACGAAGAAAATTGTAATATTATTCATTCAAATACTGATGAATTCAGTGAACGTATTGCTTATTGTAAAGTACTTTAGTTGCATTTGTTCAGATATCAAGCATTATGTACAATACAAATCAATAAAGAAACATCATTTGAGTCATTTTATTTTTCCTTCCAATTGTTAAGTTGATAGCCTTGTTTGACAATTGGTTTTTCCCTTTTATTTTTATTTTTTATTTTTATTTAAAAAAAAAAATAAAAATACTACCTCCGTTTCATATTATTTGCAACGATTAGACATTTTTCCTCTTTACTTTATGTTAAATCGTTGCAAATAATATAGAGGTAGTATAATTATTGTTGGCTTTTAATTAATCATGTAGTCACACGACTTTTGTTTCGAGAAGTCTTTTCAATTAGTAACCAATACAAAAATTTGAGCAACAATTTCACAGACAACGAAAAAGTTGGTTACAAGTTCTTCAGAGGTTAAGGAAATGTGATTATTCAGATCAATGTTGGACAAGATGATACTCTCTCCATTCCACAATGACATTCTTGTTAGAAATCTTTTGACTTTTAAAAATAACGGTGAATCTTCTGTTAGTTTTGTAATCCCTCTTGTCTTCTCTTATTCATTCAAATATGTATTTATAAGAATTACAACTTACTAGAATAGTCTTGGGAAATATCTAGATACTACAACTTACTAGACTAGGGAAATATCTAGATAATACAACTTACTAGAATAGTCTTGGGAAAACTCTACATAAATATATATACAACGAATACAGAAATGTCCATTAAGGACTAGAATAATCTAGAACGAACAGAGACATAATCACAGTCTCTATCACGCCCCCGCAGTCAAAGCGGGAGGAGGACGGACGCAAAGATTGTGACGAAAATCTAGAAACAACTGGCGAGGAAGACCCTTCGTAAAAATGTCCGCATACTGATAAGATGATGGAACATGTAGGACTCGGACATGACCCAAAGCCACTTTTTCACGTACGAAATGAATATCCATCTCAATGTGTTTGGTACGCTGGTGATTTATTGGATTGGTAGATAAATATACTGCAGACACATTGTCGCAAAAAACCAAGGTGGCCCGTTGGATTGGGCAATGCAACTCGAGAAGAAGGTTTCGAAGCCAGCAAGACTCAGCAACAACGTTGGCAACCCCCCGGTACTCTGCCTCTGCACTGGATCTAGATAAAGTGGCTTGTCTCTTTGTGGACCAAGAAATGAGATTGTCCCCCAGGAATACATAATAACCCGATGTTGAGCGACGAGTGTCCGGGCAACCACCCCAATCAGCGTCCGTATAGGCAACAAGCTGATTAGCTTTGGATAGGAAAAGATGCAGTCCATGATCAGAAGTACCCTTTACGTACCTAATTATGCGTTTCAAGGCATTAAAGTGAGGTTCTCTCGGATCATGCATGAAAAGACATATTTGTTGGACAGCATATGCAATGTCTGGTCGGGTGAAGGTAAGATATTGAAGTGCCCCTGCTAGACTTCTGTACAAAGACGGATCTGCAATCGGATGCCCGATAGTTGCACTGAGTTTTGATCTAATGTCAACAGGGAGTAGCAGCAGGTTTGCAGTTGTCCATGTTAGCCCTGTGAATAATTTCTTCGGCATACTTTTTCTGACAAAGGAACATGCTATGTGGAGAACAAGTGACAGAAATTCCCAGAAAATAACTCAGCTGACCAAGATCCGTCATTGAAAATTCAGATTTAAGCAGAGCAATAATGATATTTTTCAAATACTCTGATGAGGCAGTGAGGACAATGTCATCCACATATAGTAATAAATAGGCTGACATATTACCTTGACGGAGAATAAACAAAGATGAGTCACTCTTGCTACAAACAAAACCGATCTGGGAAAGATAAGTTGCAAACCGCTGGTACCAAGCTCTAGGAGCTTGTTTTAAACCATACAGAGATTTTCGAAGACGACACACATGAGTAGGAGCATTTGGGTTAACAAAACCCGGTGGCTGATGCATAGAAACAGTCTCTTGTAAATCACCATGCAAAAATGCATTTTTTTACATCTAACTGGTGAATGGGCCAGTTATAACTCAAGGCAACACTGAGAACAGTTCGAATAGTAGCTGGTTTAATAACTGGACTGAAAGTCTCATCACAATCCACCCCGACCTCTTGTGATATTCCATTAACAACTAATCTGGCTTTATACCTCTCAAGTTCACCATTGTCCTTGAATTTATGCTTATATAACCACATGCAACGAATGATATTAACCCCATCCGGTTTGGGAACAAGATCCCAAGTATGTTGTTTAGTAAGAGCATTAAATTCCTCATGCATAGCCGCATTCCAATTCGGGTCAAGCAGGGTCGATTTTGGATTTTTGGGTAAAGGAGAGATTGATTGTACTGATAGGTTGAAATGTGTTTTAGGCTTGAAAATCCCGTGTTTGGCGCGAGTTTGCATTTGAGGAGATGTGGGGAGTAATGGTTGAGTTTGTGGGCTAGACGGTGATGAGGGTGAGGAAGTTGGAGTTTAGGCTTGTGGGGAAGGCGACCCAGACAGGGTAGTAGAAGCTGAAGGCCCAGACGGGCTTGTGGTGCATTGTGGAATTGTGTCGTTGTGTGAGTTGGGCTGAGATGGAGAGTTTGTGGGTTGATCCAAGAATTGAGAGACTGCAAGGGGCAAAGAATCATCAAGAAAGGAATATTCCGTTTCCCAAAATTGTTGAATATTAGAAAATGGGAAAATATTTTCTACAAAAGTGACATGGCGAGATATTAGCATTTTGTTTTTAGAAATATCGTAGCATAAATAGCCTCGATGATTAGAAGGGTATCCTAGGAAAATGCACGGTGTAGACCTAGGAGCTAATTTATGAGGGGCTGTGGAAGAAAGGTTTGGAAAACACAAACACCCGAAGATTCTAAGGTGTTCATATGTGGGAGTACGTCGAAAAAGAATTTCGATAGGACTTTTATTTTGTATAGTGGTTGAGGGAAGAATGTTAAGAACATGGGTTGCGACTGTAAGAGCGTAAACCCAGAAGGAAGGTGGGAGAGAGGCATGGAAAAGAAGAGGACATACCATATTGTTAATTGTGCGTATCATACGCTCGGCTTTGCCGTTTTGAGACGATGTGTTTGGACACGAGAATCGGAAGCGTAAGCCATGGTCCGCACAAAATTTGTGAAATGGGGTGTTGTCAAATTCTCGATTGTCGGTTTGAAAAGTTTTAAGTCTTTCTCAAATTAAGTGTTCACATAAGCTCGAAATTCAAGAAAAATATGAAAAACTTGAGATTTAAACTTAAGAAGATATACCCAAGTGAAATGCGAAAAATCATCAAGTAGTACTAAGTAATAATTATGACCCAACTTGCTAGTAATGGGTGAAGTCCATAGATCTGCATGAATTATATCAAAGGGAGAAAAGGTAACCGATACAGAGGATTGAAAAGGTAGTTTTGTAATCCCTCTTGTCTTCTCTTATTCATTCAAATATGTATTTATAAGAATTACAACTTACTAGAATAGTCTTGGGAAATATCTAAATACTACAACTTACTAGACTAGGGAAATATCTAGATAATACAACTTACTAGAATAGTCTTGGGAAAACTCTACATAAATATACATACAACGAATACAGAAATGTCCATTAAGGACTAGAATAATCTAGAACGAACGGAGACATAATCATAGTCTCTATTATCTTCTAACTTTGTCTCAATCTAAAAGAACAAATATAGTCATATGGGTTTTAGTTTGATTCGTCTTGGTGAGTACATTATTAATATCTAATTTTAAATTTTTTGCTAGTGTGATATTAAAGATATTTGAGGTCAAAAATTTGCAAAAACTTGTATCGATTTACGACGTAAACAGGAACATCTTATACAGAGGGACTACAAAATTATCTATACGATCATATAATATGACTTAGCTAGCTTATTACTACACGCATATCTTGTTCTTGTTCCATACGTTATTAAGCTTATATTCAAGTTTTCTTAGCTCATCGACTCTTAGACTCCCATAATTCTGAGTCGCACATGAATGAACATAAAAAGCGTTATCTATTATTACCTTAAAATAAATTAATTAGTAGGAAAAGATGCTGTTATAATAGATAGAATATGCTTAATTCGCTTGTACAAAGTCATAACTTATTAGTTACTCAAGGATTCAAAATGGTTGATAAATGAGACTTGTACTCAATGTTAACAACTATATGACATGTATCCATATATAATACTGGTCTGCCAACCCATAACACATAGGCTTACTTGTGTGTTGCTTTCATTTAGAGAGTCATTAGTTGCAAGATTGAGCTGAGATTAAATTAAGTGGTTTCATGTTGAATAAGTATAGAGGTTTTTCAATGTCGCGCTCAACGTGTTTTGTTTCTTGTCTAGTTTATTGCTTGATCTTGATTGCTGGTGTTCAAGCATGGAGCAAAGAGGGTCACACCATCACCTGCAAAATGGCTCAGGTTAGCTACTACGTACTCTTTTTTCGTGGTGTGTTACTCCGTTTTTGTTCATTCACTCTTGAAAAACACGAGGTCTAGTACGTATAAGAGACGGCCTTATAGAAACTTTGCATTATAATTAAATAGATTTAGGGATGAAGTTTATATGTTCGTTCCTTTTGTTTTAAATCAATCTAGCTCTAATTATCGGTTGCCTTAGCTTCACATACTTAGGGTAAACTAAACTAAGCTAGCACTTTTACCACATATAGCGAAATCTAGTTATTATTTTACTTCTAAAGTTATTAGCCATATATAGTATTTGGATGTTGTTACCTTGTCTTTCAAAATATATACAGAGTATATGCAATGATATCAGATTATGATCTTATTACTCATTAGTTCTTTCATTGGAAATTATTGTAGCATAGTATATCATGTTGATCCCCTAACCTATTATATATATTGGTATTAGGGTGCTGCTTTGTATTCCTTTGTTCACTGTTATTGTTGATAGTCTTAAGTCATGTTACTATCTTAAGTCTTAAAATTAAATCTAGGAAGCAAATTTTCGAATAAGTATTGATAACACCACTGCGCGTTGGCAATTTGTCGCATACAAGCTGTTTCGGTTGAAAACAATGGGACCTTGCCGAAGGTCCGCTGAAATGGAGAAGACTGGATTCGGTCCAAGTTGTGTTGGGCCGAAGGTTTCCTGCACAGTGAACACACGTAAACTAGCCTCGGGGGTGTTTCCGAGGAAGGCCCCTCCGATGCTAAAGTCAGTACAATGTGTAAAAGGAAGACACTATGCAAGAGAGTTTGTAGCTTGAGGCTTTTGTGGAATATTTCTGAATGCAAGAATGAGCATATCACTCAGAATCTCCTTGAATGTGTCAATATGATGGCTTTTATACCTCATCATACATGGTGAGGTTGGGCCTTAGCCCAATTGGCATGCTTTGTGGGCTGACCTTTGACTTTTGTGCAATTGGAGGGTTGAACCTTGACCTTGGGCTTTTAATTGGATCATTTAGTGCTTAGGCCCAATTTTGACTAAATTGGACCCAAACAACTTGCCCCCCAGACCCGATTTGGAAGGATGACGGGTCGGGTTTGATTTAATTCAGAAAAGGAGGGAAGTAAATGATTTAATTGATCCAAAAATTTGAATTTAAACCGTAATTAATGAGATAACAACGGTTAATGATTGCGGAAGTTGGACGGATAATGGGCAGTTTAATCACAAGATCATGTGTTTAATGGCTACTTAGTGGGTATTTAAGAGAAATTAAAGCACAGACTCTTCGTATCCCGTACCTGGAGATATAAACAGAGGCGCGTCATTCTCCTCACTTATTCACCAACAGAAACCCAGAATTCTTCGAGAGAGAAACCAAGAACCCGCATCAAAACTTCGCAAATTCCCCGAGCATTGAGCTTAGAAACTGAGACTTGCCACTACGAACTCGTAAATCGGCAACTTTCGCTTCAGATTAAGGTAAATTCCTTTGATTTCAGTTTATTTTTCTTCGAATTCGAACTCCTTCCCCTTTTCTTTCGACTTTTCTCTTCGAAATAATCCATGGCAAGAGGAGTTAGAGGTAGAGCCCGTGCTCCAAGAAGAGCAAGGCCGATTCCCGATCCTAGGAACAGGATTGGGACCTGGAATGGTCAAAGGCCGGAGTCTGACCCTGCTGAAGGGATTAGGGCGACTCCCCTTTCCTCGGCTCCGCCTCAAAGAACGGATGAGCCGAGCGCTTCTGGACGGGATGATGAAGTTCCCGCTGTCCTTTGGGATATCCTCCCTGGGTTTTCAGAATGGGAGAATGCCGAAGTCGTTTCGGCCATGATAAAGAACCGCCCCTACTCATGGTGGGTAGAGAACGCCGATCAATATCGATTTGCCGAGCAAATTGAGTTGCATTACGGCATTTTTGAAGCTGATGGATATTGGTGCCGAATGCCCTCAGCATCCGATAGAATCCATCGTCCACCCCCGGGGTATGTGGGGGTGTACACGAGACAGCTTCAGTACGGGCTGAGGTTCCCTTTGGACGTTTTCGTCCGAGACTTGCTGATCCATTACAACATTTCCCTATGTTAGCTAACCCCCACCAGCATCCGAAGGGTGATGACATACTTATGGGTCTGCAAGTTCTTCAAGTACGTGCCGAACCTGCACTGCTTCAGAAAGCTCCATCGGCTAGTGCCAAATATTCAAAGTGGGCACGGAAGCCATGTATCTGGTTGGTACCGGATTGAGTCCCGGCCCCAATACTTGACCATGTGGCCAAATGACTCTTCAGACAAGGACTGGAGAGGTCAATGGATTTGGGTTAGGGCACCCACAGATCCGGGCCACCCTTGCGTCTTCAGCGCTCCCCGGTACTTAGCTGAGCCTGATCCCGAAATGGGAAGTCTAGGTCCCCCCGCAGATAACGGGGCGGATCCGAACCTGGATCAACAACATATCTTCGGCAAGCTGCCGAACCCGGGGGGGAGTGGTCGAATGCAGCATATCCCGGAGACTTGGCTCCCCGATACGCATTACGTTTTCCAAGAGAACATGCTAGCAGCTGTTGGCCTCAGCCGAAAGTTTAAGGATGGTAAGCTTCTTCGGCTGGGGCCGAGGCTTTTTAACTACCTCTTTTTCTTCTCTCGCTTTGCTTTTTTTATGCTGTGCCGATATATCTGAGCTAAACTTTCCCCTTTCCTTTTTTCAGAGCGGGACGAGACCAACGTTGGCATTAACTACGCTCGTCTTGGTGTTAACCGAGAGCGAGTTGTAACTGAACGGGCCCCGTCTATCACTGAGCCGAGGCATAGGGAAGTTCATCTGGACTCTTCCCACTTCCAAATTGAGGCTGTTGCTCTGTATCAGAGGCAGAAGCCTTGGTGGAAGAAGAGAGACCCTTGGTTTCAGCTGCTGAACGAAGAAGCTGAAGCTGCCCGCACAGCCGAAGAGGTTGCACGGGTACTCGAGGCTTGCGAAGGAGGAGAAGGGTCCTCCAGAGCTGCTGAAGCCGAAGCTGCAGCTAGAGCAGCTGAAGAAGACGAGGCTTTGCTGAAGACCTCGGTGAGCTTTCAGACAACTTTTTCTTCTTCTTTTTTTTTTTTTTTTTTTTTTTTTTTTTTTTTTTTTTTACTCACATTCTTCTTCCCCCCTGTCTGTTACAGTCTGAAGAGAGTAACAGACACAGAGAAGGCAAAGCTCCTGTTCTTCCCGAAGACCAAATACAAGAGTCTTCAGACTCAGATATGGACGAGCAGCCCCTTCTGAAAAGGCGCCGAAGGATGGCCATCATCGGCCCTCATGACTTTCAGCAGAGGCCGATGACCATCGGCGTCGCAATAAGGGAACCTGAGGAAGGCAATGGATCGCCGAGGGTTCCCCAGCCAACACCCCAATCTCCTCAAAAGACCCCTCCGCCACCTCCTGAGATGGAGGTGGATCAGAGAACTCCCGAACCTAAGGGAGGGGTCCAAGAAGAAATGAAGAAGAGTGCTGATGAGCACGAAAATAAGGATGCCGTGATGTCCAGCGCTGAGGGCTTCACGGCAGACATCGCAAGAGAGGTTGAGGCTTTCGTCCTCACCCCTGAAGAAGAGGAGGTCATAGTAATTGACTCCTCTGAGAAGGATGATGCTGAGACAACCAAAGCTAATCAAGCTCCATCGTCATCCTTCCCTTCTTTCCAGACTCTGCATTCTGGAGAAATGGGTTTCTCGGCCCCCCGAATTCCAATCCCAGACCACATCTGGGACCTCATATGGGGTCAAAACCGAGAAGGAGCTGCAGCCTACTTCGGCAATTTTGCTGGCATGTCCGAAGTAGACAGGGCAAGGATCTGGTCGCTGAAGGCCACTGCTGGGATGGGCGAATCCAGCAGATCAGTTCCTGACCCAGCCAGGTCTAACCAACTGCTGATGATGCAGGTAATTTTCCTTCATTTCCTCCGAAATTCAGCTCTTTATATATATATATATTTTTTTTATATTTATTTATTTTTGTCTTCCTGTTTTCAGTTCGTGCACAATCAGACTCTCACTGTAGAGCTGATAGATACCCTACAAGATAGGGTAGACGCTGCCGAGCACGACAAAAAGGTAGCCGAAGAGGAGTTAAAGCTTGCTAAGCTGAAGCAAGCAGCAGCTGAAGAGAAGCAGCAGAAGGGTGAAGAATATGAGAAAAAAGCTGCTGAAGCCTTCAAAACCTTCTGCGATGCTATGGAGAAGGAAGTTTTTCCCCCACTGATGGAAGGGGAAAAATTCCTCCAGGAGCATATGGGAGTGGACGTGTCCAAATTCAAGGCTGCTGTTGAGAGCCGAATTCAAGAAGGAACTGCTGCACAAGCTGAAGTGCAGCAGCGTCTAGAGGCTCTTGAAGCCAGCCGAATGGCTGCTGAAGAGTTGCTCCTGGCCAAAGACGTCCAACTCTCAGAGGCTGCTGCTGCTGCTGAAGCCCAAAGAGCTAAATTCCAAGAGGCTGAGGATCAATTGCTGATCCAGAAAGTTGAAGTGGCCCAGGCTCAGACAAAGGCTTTCCAAATTCAGCAAGAGCTGAATGAGCTGAAAGGTTCCTCCTCCAAAGTCGCTGATGAGCTGAAGAAATCCAAGGAAGACTTGGAGGAGACCCAGAAGAAGCTGGCTGATGCTGAGGCTTTACTCAAAGTCCGTGTTTATACCCAAGAGGAATATGAGATGGGTTTCAGAAACGGATTCCGAGTATGCCGAAGAGTCTGCCTTCATGCTGAGCCGAAGCTGGACTGGTCTAAATGTGCTGAGTGGGTCCAGAATCCCGAAGACCCTCACATGAAGTATGCAACTCCAGCCGAAGCTGAAATTCTTAAGGCTGAGGAAGCCGAAGAGGAAGCTGAAAGACTGGAGTTGGAAGCTGAGCAGAGGGAAAGGGAGGCTCGGCAAAGTGCAAAGCCCGCTTCTTCTGCTGCTGGGGCTGAGGCCACCATGGGGCTCAACGCTGATCAGTCTGATCCTCAGGCTGAAGCATAGGAACTCGG